TACTACGACGACAACGACGACGACGACGACGACTACTACTACTACTACTGCTATTACTACTACTACTTCTACTACTACTACTACTACTACTTCTACTTCTACTTCTACTTTTACTTCTACTTCTACTTCTACTTCTACTTCTACTTCTACTTCTACTTCTACTTCTACTTCTACTTCTACTTCTACTTCTACTTACTACTGCTACTACTGCTACTACTACCAGAATGCCACCACCACTGCTACTACTACTGACACGACTACCGCTACTCCTCCTCCTCCTCCTCCTCCTCGTGCTGCTGCTGCTGCTGCTACTGCTGCTGCGCAAGACATTCCAAGAGGACCAGAAGCGCATGGACGATCTTCTCAACGATACTGGCGGCCTCGTTCCGAAGCCTCCAACCTTCCAACTGGCGCCGCCTGGCGGTTCGTACTAGGTTTTCGGGTTTTGGGGTTCCGGGTTAAGGCTCTTACAACCTGCGTTCTAGATTTTGAGGTTTCAGGGTTCAGGGTTCAAGGTCCTGCAATCCTAGACGGAAGAAGTTCGTGTAGTGCTTTTTCTGACCGAGAGCTGCAGTGACGTCGTTGGAAGGACTGTCCGGTGGCTCCCAACAGGTCCTGCCTTTTTGCCCGAGATGCAAACCTTGGGTGCCGTCACGCACACTTTGTTTGCACAGACCTGTTTGGATTTCGTGGTCCAATCGTCTGGTCGTCATTCGAAGGGAACAGCGTCAATGTGAACTCGCCGCAGGAAATCGAGCTGAGGCTGACATGCCCATATCGCCTAGCTGACCAGCACGCATAAACTTATGCTTACAAGTGCTTGATGTGAACCCTCCTTTGTGCCGGCAGGGGTAGCTCTGCATATATAGATATAAGTATATACGCAGAACTATATGCTCGTAAATAGACCTTAGGACTCAAAAGAGATGGGAAAGCCAAGAGCTGGGGATGAATTCGTTTATCTGTCTACCCATTTTCCATCGACATTTCCACCTTTTTCAGATATTCATTTGTGAACATGTTGTCATATTTCAACCTGGTATCAACCACAGTTTACAGCATGAAAATCTCTTTTCTACACGCACACACACACACATATATATATATATGCAAATATATGTATAATTATACAGACAGATAGTGATCGGTCACCATGGCGACCAAGACGACAATCATCTGGACGACCAGTCCGCAGGACGATCACGACAACCACGACCACCACCACGACCACCACGACACCAGTCCAAGACCACCAGGAAACCACCAGGAGACCACCAGAAGACCACGTCCAGGAGACCCAGGGGACCACCAGACCACCACCAGAAGGCATGGCCAAGATGCTTACCCCATGTGCACCAGTTCTGTTTGCAACTAGCGCA